TGATGCCAATAATGTAATTTTAAACTTTGAAAAAACCTAATACATTTATTTGTGTACTTTTAATAATGCAGAGGAGGCTGTTTAAGTCCTAAAATATGATACAATCAATACTGTTTGCACGCAGTGTGTGGAGACTGTCCCAAAACTGTACTGCTTATGACCTAGTGCAAATTCCCGATGCAAAATATTTACATGGAAATACATACCTTATAATGGGTGTATATGGGCATTGGACCGATAATGCTTGACATTTGATAGCCCTTGCAAACTGATAAAGAATGTATTAGAAACAGTATGCTCAATATCGAGTACCTAATCTTCCCTTCAAAAGGCTCAAATTTTGATTGAAAATAGGCTCCTCTGCAGTTTATTGGGAAAATAAAAAAAAAGATCCAAAAAAATACTAGAAATACTGAAAATAAGTTATTGTTTTGACATTGTTCGGGAGATTTTAAAAATATTTAAACAGGAAGCAAAATATTTTAAAAAAACAAAAATAACTTAAATAAAGAAAGTAGTTATATTAAATAAAAAACATTAAATACATGCCACAAAACAACAGTCCATTTCTCATGACAACGATTCACATAATAATTATTTATTATTATTACCATTTTATAATGATCGTGAATAATTAAGAAATTAAAAACAAAAGACAAACACGTAAGTACTTATTGTGGTTAAACACCAGAACATCTGGTGAAAGTTATTACTAATTATTACATTTGCAAGTTTACAATAAATTAACAAGAATTTTTTAAATTATTGTTAGTTCTATTTTATATTGTTATATACATGGTCTGAAGAAAATATCTAAAAAACTTCTAAACCCTAAAAGAAATCTTTAAATGTTTAAATATTATAAAATTCCTAATCATAAAAAAATACTTGTTTTATTAAAGTATTTCATTTACAACAAAAAATAAATCATAAAATTAAATTTTATTTTAATTTTTTTTGTATGTGGTATATGATTTTCTGTACTTATTTTGCTACTATAGTGTGTGTGTATATCAAGTGTCTTCTGTTTTCACAATTTTTAACTTCAAAATGATGAAAAAAGGAAATTAAAAAAAAAGCAAATTAAAAAATGAAAATTTAAGGAATATTTTAAGAACATTTTATGAACATTTTATGAAAATTTTAAGAAAATTTAAATTGTTTCAAAGAAAATCCTGAAAAGTAAAAAAAACATAAGTAAAATCATGAAAAAATCCTCAGAAATTTTAGCAGTATATTTTGAATTTTTGCCTTAAAAAAAGTTTAGAGAATTCTCTAACGCAGCTAGTGAAAGTTTTAAATTTAGATAAATCGTAGGCATCAAAAATACACTGGTTTTGTTTTAATAAAGTATTTCGTTTATAATTTCAATTTTAATTCAAAAAGTAAAAAAATTCTTGACAAAATCTTCAGAAACATTCTTTAAAATAAATCAACAAAATATTGTTAATTATTTTTGCCTTAATAAAAGCTTGGAAAAAGCACGAACGAAGCTAGTCAAAGTTTTATATTAAGAAAAGTCGTAGACATCAAAAATGCACTTGTTTTGTTATATCAAAGTAATTTATTTAAAATTTCCAATTCCAATTAATATAATAATAAAAAATCAGAACCTGAAAAAATTAGGAAAATTTAAAGAAAATCTCTAAAAAGAACCACCAAATCCCAAAACGAAAAAAAAAACCATAAGAAACATTCTTTAGAATAAGTCAACAAAATAGTTTTATGTTTAGAAAAAATTGTTGGCATCAAAATAAAAAAAAATTAAGAAAATCTCTAAAAGGACTTCAAAATCCTAAAAAAAACAAGAAAAATTAAAAGTTAAACCGTAACACAATCTCGAGAAACATAAAAAATAAGGGAATTTGAAGAAAATCTCTAAAAAACTTTTTTATTATGTCGAAGTGTGCTTTGCCATTTATATTTTGATTTCCAAGTTCAAGGAAAATTAGAACATTTAAATAAGTTAAGAAAGTGTAAACAAAACATGTAAAAATAACTTCCAAATCCTAATACAGTGTATCGATTGTTTAAATTAAAAATAGTTTATTTATAATTTATTTATAATTTCTTTATACTACGTACTAATTAATTTATTTATATTTCTTGCACTATTTTATATTGAAACTTAGCTTAAACAGCGAAATAATTCAATAATATATAAAATTGCAACAATCTAGAAAGGTCCAACCGTGACTAGAAGCTCGGTGGTAGTCTAAAAGTTCTGAAAATTATTCCTGCATGCGTTGAACTGCAAGAGAAAACATTAGAATCAAGTCTAGATCATGAGTCTGGTCTCGATGGCCAACGCAAGACTCTACGGCACGGTAAAAGTAAATAAGGGAAAGGATCGGTTCAGGCGCTCGCACGATAATAATAACTGTCAGTAACGTCATAAAAACTTGAGAAACATTCCTTAGAATAAATCTACATAAAATATTTTCCTCTTTAACAAAAGCTTTGAAAAAGTTCTAACAAAATGATTTAAATTTTCAAAATTAGAAAACTAGAAATGCACTTTGTATGTTTTGTCAAAGTGTTTCATTTGCATTTTCAATCTACAATTGCATAAAGATAAGAAATACAGAACATTCAAAAATAAAAGAAAAATTATAAAAAAAATCTCTAAAACTAACTCCCTTATTCTAATATACTAGACGTCAGTAAAATAATAAAAAACTCCTGACACATTCCTTTGAATGAATCTACAAATTTAGAGAACTTTTCTCTTAAAAAAAAAATTCACTTATAATTCACAAGGGCATGATAATTTTGCTAAAATATTCATACCCGAAAGAAAATTTCCAGAAATAATTTAAGCTTGCGTGGTATACGGTAAGAAAATTTCACACCATTTCACACCATAATTTGGAAAAAAATTATTAATCCAACCTGACATTTTAAATTAATTTACCTGCTTGTCAAGTTGGCCAGGGTATTGTTGTGGTTCTAAAAAACTGTCGGATAGTAAATGGTTGATTCCAAATGTTGACAATCCACAAATGTGCCCAGGTCGTTTGTTTAAGAAGTTGATGGAAAAAAGGGGAAATCTTATCCAGACCGACAGATTATTCATAACACCAAACCCATACTGGAGTCAACCCAATTCAAAAGGATGGTACAATAATAGCCCATTTTGTAAGAACATTGTATCTTCATGGTTTAAATCTGCAGCCTCTGATATAGGAATTGACACTAAAAAAAGTTAAAATAATCAATAATTTTGCAAGAGCAACAGCTGTTTCGAATTTGGCCAAGGAAGGAGTTGGTGAACAACAGCTCATTAAAATTACTGGACACAGTAATAGTCAGTCAATGAAACCTTACTTACAATTGGACGTTGAACATCATAATCAGATGATTGAATCCATCGTCAAGTACTTGCAAGTTTAGTCATGATCAGAACGCAATGCAAAATAAAACAAAAGTACCGAGATTCAAACCACCAATTCAAGCCAACCCACAAACATTTGTAATAATTGTGTTTTTAATATTAATAAAACCTATATTAATTAAATGTATTTCGTTATTACTTTGCTTATTAGTCGATATTATTAGAGATTTGTCAATGAAGATGTTAGTTCAATGTGAAATAAATTCTAAAAAAATCATATAGGTATATCCACTATATCTACAATATGTCATCCAAAATTAATACATTTTACAAATTTAATGGAAGATTGCGACCAGGAAGCGTTAGAGTCGAATGGTTTATTTACGAAAATCCAAGAAAGTCTGCTGAAGATTTCAAGTAAATATGGCCTCTTGCCTAAAAGAGATTTGAACAAAATTGTTTCAAAATATTACATATGTCTTAAAACACAGACATCTAATTAATTCGTCACCTTCCTAATTACCATTAAGAAGAGATGATGGGTTAGAATTCAAGCAACATTTTAATCTTTCTATGCTTGTAGATCCTACGTTTTGTTAATGCATAATAATTAAACAAATTTGTGTTTTCTGTTTAATGAAACTTTATAGCGAATAATAAATAATACAGAAATTTTGCATTATTCACAGGTATATCTACAATATTTATTGGTTGTAGATCATATGTTTCCGGAAATTTTTTTAGTTGCTATAGTAAATAGACAAAATTAAGGAATCTTATTGGTTAAAAAGTAGAGGTGTGAAATTTTCAAAATTATAAAACATCAAAAATACACTTGTCTCCTTATGTCAACAAGCCCAGCAATTTAATATATTCTGTAACCGTCGTTATTTATAGCCAACACCATTTTCGGTCAACGATATACCTTCTTCATCGTTTTATTTTTCTTATACATCACAATTAAAAAAACCAAAGACATAAATAAGCATTGTACTTTAAGCAACTTCACGCACGACAACATAATTCACCGTAAAAGTTTTCTTCAATAAATTATTTGGCGAAAAAAGTGTTCGAAGAAATGCTTTACGTAACGCGATTTTAAAGATACCTTATGTCGTTTTGTGAAATGATGCGTGAGCAATATTTTTCTTTCAAGTGGTGTCAATACTGGGTGCAAAATATGGACGTCCGAGAATTGGTCAATACTTTTTAGAAAGCTACAGAGTGATTGAATATTTTATATTTGGGACCTTCTTATTTATTGATATAACTTCAATTGACAATGTAATATTGTATTAGAATATAGTAAATATATACCTGTTAGCATATTTCATTAATACTACATGGACTACATGCTTGTCCTGTACCTAGACATTAAGTTAGTTAGTTAGTTATTTGATAGATGAAGAACGTCAGGTCAGACATTTTTCTAGTTTTTCTGAATTGTCAATCATTATTTTTTTTTTAATTTGGTGTCATCGGCATCGACTGCTAAGGTCATTAGCCTCGTGTTCTGTGTAGGCTTTGTTACTGTTTCCCAGCGCCACTTTAGGAACAGCACTGTTAATTAGAACCCAACAGTGAATGGTCGAGTGGGGATCATTATTAAAGTATTTCCTGTAATTAGTATTTATTCATTCACTAGTTAACAGTGGCGACAAAGATAATGGACGCCGACACCCTTGAAATATTATTGCGGCAGCAAAATAAAATTTTGGAACAACTAACAAAAAAAATTGGTAATGTTTCGGAGGCCAGCTCTACTACGGATAACACAGAGTTAATTATTGAATCTTTAGCTAGAAACCTAATGGAGTTTGTACCAGATTTGGATAATAACGTTACTTTCGATTCGTGGTTCAGAAGGTATGAAGATTTATTCCTTATAGACGAAGCTAAGTTAGACGACGCAGCTAGAGTTCGGTTACTGCTTCGATATAAATGCTTTCAAATTTCAAAATCTGAGACGGACGATTTTCTTACTTATTCCGGAATCGTAAATAAACAATGTGAAGATTTTCAATTAAAGAAATTATCTGAAAATCAGTTTAAATGCTTAATGTTTGTTATTGAGTTAAAGTCGGCGCAATATTCCAACATTACCACTCGACTTCTATCTCAAATTGATAAGGACGATAAAGATGATATATCATTGGAACAGTTAGTAGATGAATGTCATAAAATATTAAATCTAGAAGCAGATACGGCATTAGTTGAACAAAATTCATCACAAGTCCATACTGTTTTTAATAAAATCAAAAATTCAAATCTTTAAGACAATCCGAAGAAACCGCGCACTCCCTGTTGGCAATGTGGTGCCATGCATTTTTCGAAGGACTGTAACTTCTCAACCCATAAATGCAATATATGTGGGAAAATTGGCCATAAAGAGGGATACTGTTCTTGTTTTCAAAAAAGATTTTCTCAATCTTCTACAAATAATTTTAAAATAAGAATATATTTCAAACAAAAAGCATTTTTATCAATCATGTCAGTTCATCTAGGAAATTTATTGATGTTTACATTAATGGTTCTAAAGTTAAACTTTAATTTGACTCTGCTTCTGATGTCACTATTATTGATGATGAAACATGGAAAATGATAGGTGAACCTACTATTTCACAAACCAACCAGATTGCAAAAAATGCTTCAGGTGAAGAAGATAAACAGGAACAATTAATTGCCAAATTGCCTTAGAAAACTCAGAGCCAGTCAGTGGAACATTCTTGTTTTTGTCCATTAAACATCTATATCTGCTTGGTATTGATTGGATTGAGAAAATGGGACTTTGGGAAGTTCCAATAAACTCAATATGTCATAAAATTGGCATTCAGCTACAACCAACATCTTTAGAAGAAATCAAAACTACCTACAAAGATGTATTCAATAAGTCAAAAGTAAAGCTCTTTACAAAACCAAACGCAAAACCAGCATTTTGACCAAAAAGACCCGTGGCATACAACGTGAAACAAGCAGTTGAAGATGAATTAGATCGTCTGGAGACTATGGGAGCCATAACACCTATATATTTTTCAGATTGGGCAGCGCCGATTTTTGTTGTTAAAAAAACAAACGGAAAAATCAGAATCTGCGTTTAAATAATGCTCTAAAACCTTAATGTTATCCACTATCCTTGCCCGAAGAAATATTTTCAAATATTTCTGGAGGTGTTATTTTCAGCAATTTAGATCTATCAGATGCATATCATCAAATAGAAGTGGATGACACATCAAAGAAAATGCTTAGCATCACAACCCATAAAGGGTTATATCAATACAATTGTCTACCCTTTGGTATCAAAATCGCACCAGGTGCTTTCCAACAAATCATGGACACAATGTTGTCAGGTTTAAACATGGTTCCGCCATATTTAGATGATATTATTATTTCTGGGAGAAATGTAGCAGAACATAATAACAATCTTTATCAAGTACTTATCAGAATACTAGATTGTGGTTTTAAATCGTTGCCCTTAGATATTTTAATAGACACGTTTAATTTAGTACCAACCTCAACAACTCTACCCGACAATATTCCCACTGATAGCTCAACTAGTCAACATTCAAAATAGACCTCGTCGTATTATACAAAGACCTAAACGATACGGATATGATGATTTGAGTTAAAGAAAAGGGAGATGTTGGCATATTTCATTAATACTACATGGACTACATGCTTTTCTTGTACCTAGACATTAAGTTATTTAGTTATTTGATAGATGAAGAACGTCAGGTCAGACAAGGGTCAGACATTTTTCTATTTTTTCTGAATTGTCAATCATTATTAATTATTAAAAGTATTTTCTGTAATTAGTGTTCATTCATTCATTCACTAGTTAACAACCTAAAACCATTGAGTAAAGGAATATTACTAAAACTAAATTTAAAACTAAGTAATTGATAGACGTTCATTTGCCATATTTTTTTTTTTATTAAAAATTTTAATAATGGTAGAATGTAAACGTTTAAGAAATCAACCAAGGTAAGTATAAAATATTTACATTAATTATATTATATACGGCTCCTGGAAAACTAAAAAAAGAATAATTAGTTGTTAAATTAATACAGGAAATTTTTGACTAAGATATAAATCAATATTAACATAAATAATAATTTACGATTTCTCTATATTATTAGTTACATCTACACTGGCACGAGCGAATGCCAGAAATCATGCGGGTCATATGGATTTTATTTACTACTTGGTATTACGTAAATTTATTGGTCGAATCAAAGAATGTATAATGTAATAAATAAAATTCCTTATAATCCGTAGGAACGCAAAAGAATGTACACATTTCTCTTCCTCAATGTAAATGTTGTAGTCGTTATGTATGTACTTTGTTTCATAAAGTACTTGCAAGGGTTTCAACAGTAATTTATTAAGAAAGAAAAAATTAATTTAAATTTAAACAGAAGTTATGCAACTAATGCTGTGAATCATTTTTTTTTTGAGTATTTTTTAATGCAACAGTTGATAGAGCAAAAGTATGGTCATAAAATATTAAAACTATAAGTAAATGTTAGCTAGGAAAGGTTTAAACAATTTTTATGTAAAACCAGAATTAAAAATAAAAATAGTGGTTGTCAACATGTTTATTTCTGTAATCTGTAATAATATTAAAAATAATTTGTTAATCTCTACACGATTTTTTTAAATCTACGAACAGTGTATTGAAAAAATCAAAACCTAATAAAGTTTATATCAAAATTAATGAAGGATTGATTTCTTTTTGTTTGGAACTCTGTCACTTTATATGGCGTAAAATATATCTAAAATAATAAAAAAAATATGAAGATATTTAATAAAGGTGAGTAAATATGAATAAATAAGAAAAACAAATATAAACCAATATTAATAAAGATCGATAAATGAGGATCTAACTTTTAAATGGGAGCTAGTCCATATTTTTTAAAATCGAGGTTTTGTGCGCGTTGGCAAGTTTCATCTTAACGGTATTTAATTTTAAAATCAAAAACGTTCATTTACGAACGAGTCTCATGGATTTAGCCTTCAAAATATTGAGTTTTTGAACAAAGACGAACATGTCCACTGCTCAATTTCAACCAAAGACGAACATGTCCAAAGCAGCCAATGAGCGTTGAATATTGTAATCACGTGCCTTCTCTCTCAACCTTCTCATAATTATTTCATCCGTTTGACAGTTTCAGTATCAAAAATTATAAGATGTGTGACATTTTTTAATAATATTTGTTATTAAGAATAATGAGAAATTAATATGGAAAAACTTTTAGACTTGAAGTCAAACTTTTTTTGAGTGAAAATTATAAATATTAATAAATATCGATAAATATCAATAAATAGCGATAAAACAGGTGCCCAGTTGCATCTAGTTAAACAGTAGATAAGTAAATATTGTCATGAAAATAGGAAGGGTAGAACAATAATTAATGAACAGTAAAAATTTTCATTTAAATTCAATGATAAAATCACTAGACAAACGATAATTAATGAACAGTAAAAGTTTTTATTTAAAATCAATAATAAAATCACTAGACACTTTGACTATGATCAAAAGAAAACAAAATTAAATTTTTCTTTAACGAATAAAAATAAAAAGTATGGATACGCACCTTAATATTTTGTGAAATTGGATCAACCCTCTTTGATTAGTTTTTTTTTTGACCTGACCTGCCTAGCAACGCTGGTTGTGAAGGAAAATTAAACAAGACGGGTAGACATATTAAAATTTTGGGGACATAAAAAGAAAAAGGGACAATTAAAAAGTTTTTAAACCAAAAATTAAAGTAATTTTTAAAGATTTCGTGTTGAAATGAAATTTGACTTATCCCAGAAATATATGTGACAATTAATTACTAAGTAAGAAGTTTATCTCTAATTTAAAACTGAAATAAAAAACTCACCGTCGAACAATTAAGAAGATCGCAAGTCCTCTAATGGTGTATCTGAGGAATCAGGATTTCTGTGTGTGGTTGACCTAGAAGAGAATAGAATAATATTGAAATCTGGTGAAGAACTTGTATCAGCAGGTATTTATAGTACTTACGTGAAATAATTGATTATAAATATAGACAATTTGTATATTGCGAATTATTTAAAAAAAAAACATTGTCTTTTGGAGGTTAAAAAAAAACCTAATCTCTGTTCTGTCTGTATACAGTTTAGTTCAGGTAGGTTTTAAGACTGTTATTAGGTGGCGACACACATACTTTATGTAAAAAAAATTGCCCATATTCTATAGATGTCGCCAATATAAATTTGTAGGTACCTACACAATTTTTTTTTGAATAGTTCGGCCCTTATCAAATATATGTCGTTATGGCCATTTGAATTAAAATTTTATAACGTCCATTGTTGAACCAATTTAAAACTGTCAGCGAGTTGTTATTACATGAGTTTTCTTTTATACAGTTTTAAAAAAGGATTCGACTAATTTCGGATTGATTTTGATTCTGTTTTCGATCTATTTGTTTATTTGTATCCTTGTTATAATAAAAAATATATGAAAATAAGTCAAACTTCTATTCAATATCAGTTTTCTTTTGTATCATTAATAGTAGGGGGGAGAAAATAGAAGTTCTAATATAGTCCAGTGATTAAAGGTAAATTTTTCCTAATAGTAATGAACCAGCTTAATTTTCTAAATTAATTTATTGATAAACAATGAAACAACAAATTCATATGATTAATATAATTAAATGAACCGACACTGAGAGTAGAGTCATCTATACTCTGTTAAATTACTTAACAGACTAGCCGGAGCAACAATCTAGATAAAAAAAGTAGGTATAATTGACCATACTATTCATTTATTATTGTCATGATAACTCTACATAAATAAATAAAATAAACTATAATTTCATAATACCCTCACCAATATATTATTCATAACAATATCTTTATTTATAAAAACTTTGGGAAGAATGAATTCTGTAAAAATAATAATAAAAATAACTTTTTAACACTATGGAACCTGATTCAAAAACCTTATTGGAACATTGTTTCAACAACAGATGGACAGCTGATTAAAAACCATATTGGATCCTGCTTGGAATACCATATTGGAACCTGATTTAAAAACTGTATTGGTACCTGGTTCCAAAACCATAATATTAGAATCTAATTTAGAAACCATACTAGAACCTGGATTAAAAACCGTATTGGAACCTGGTTAGATAACCGTATTGGAATCTGATTTAAATACCATATTGGAATTATAAATAAAAGTATTACATTCTAATCTCGGAACCACATTTGCAAATATATGGTTCCCATATAAGTATGCTGCAATTT